CCTACATGTGCCACACAGAGGAGGAATTCTCCTATACATGGACACACAGAGTCACACACGCTCACATGTCTGACAGGAAGAACAAAGTGCTTATATAATGTGGGTGCAAAACACAACACCCTGCAATGTTCTGCTAGTAAAAAGAACATGTAATTTACATGTGCTTAATATACGAAGCACACATGTGCCCATGCATGAACACACACAACACACGTGCAAACAACCAACACAGCCGTTCTCATGGTATGGTCTGCCCCTGAGCATGCAAATGACATTCATTATGCAAATGTATACAAATCAGAACCAACCATCTGAGAATCTGAGCTGAGAAAAAAACGAAAAGAATAAAATTAAACAAATGAAGGGAGAAAGCATAGAAAATAAATAAGAAACATGTTGGCATGTTTGCATGTAGAAAGTACAGTGTCACTTTAAGGTGCAAAAACGTGTGAGCACACGTGGCCAACAAAAAAATAGATTAAACCCTACTTCATTAGGACAGTTCTCCTTTGTGCACCAGAAATGAGGTTTAAAAATACCTATTACTTGTAATAAAAATGGCTGGAAAAGTCTCAATTGAGCTGCAGGCAACACATATATAAACAGACATTGGTAACTGGGAAGCAGAATTAGGAAGTTTTAATATTAATTCAGTAAATAAAAAAATCTTATAGCTGTATATACACTGATGTAGGGGGCTCTGACATATGAATACACTTTGTGCTACATCATACTTCAGACAAGTCAGTGTACTGTTAATGCAGTCTGATATGGAGATTTTAAAGGTTTTTATTGTCCCTTGATAGTGTTTGCGATAGATGATGCCACACTGTTGCCTTGTTTGGGACAAAGTCCATTAAGTTTCTTATCAAAAAAGCAGAAAATCAACTGCAGAAGAGCATCAGCTGGAGTGGAAATGTGCCAAATGATGGCAAAGTGCTGCTAATTGCCTCTCGAGGCGTTCTTTGTTTTGTTTCACCTCTCTCACTACCACTACCTCTCTCAAAACCCAGAAGAGCTGCCTTTATAAAAACTCTGAGCCTCCCTCAGCTGGATTCAAATTAATTTCTGTATAATTGTTAAAAAAAAAAAAAGTAGAATATATGTGAGGGTGATTAGGGAGATACATGGACACAAGCTCCATGTTTTAAACCTGTGTAGTCCATACCTCATCTAACATCTGCAACGACAATGAACAGATTTCTCTCCTAAAACACATTCAGAAAACGGAGTTAAACTAAAATTTAGCTAATTAACTGGCATTGCTGAAATGGCAAAAAACGCTAATTAGAAACTCTTTGGGGGCCGAATTCTTACCCAAAACAAAATGCAATTAGACAAATTCCTGAGTGTAGTTTGTGTGTGTGTGTGTGTGTGTGTGTTTGGGGGATGGATCACTCATGTTATGGGGACATCTGTTTACACAGTCGCATTGTGTCCTAATGGGAGCAAATAGGAAGTCCCCAAAAATTAAATCATTGCATTTTAGAGTGATGACTGGACTTAATGTTAGGGGAAGGTTGGGTTAGGCAAGTAGTGGTTACAGTTATGGTT